GAGAAAAAGAGAGGAAGAGGCGATGTGGCCGACGGTGTCGAAAGGGCGCGCGACCTCCAGCGTGCGCCCCTCTCCCGTCTCCGCCCATTACCTCCGCAGAATAGTCAAGGTAACAGCTCTCCGTTCAGTTCAAATATTTGCAAGTTTCAGCGATTGACTTAAATTCGTGCACCGTTTCCTGTGATCTCGATATTCTTGAATGCTTCACCTCATTCCCTGTTATTTTACATTAATAAAGAGTTTTCTGATTGGGTTCTTAGGGAGCTGGAATCCACATGGTTCGAGAATTCTGTCATTTAGCTGACGTTCGATTTTAATACTGGAAGGCACGGTTAGATGGGGAGGAATCCATGGTTTTATATTAAGATATGATAGATTCCGCAGAAGAAATCAATCATGTGGTACTAAATGGAATTTCTAGAGAGATTCTGTCAATTTTATAGACCCACAAACCACTTTTTTGCTTCTTCTGGGGATGTTTTGTTTGCTGAAATCTCCTACATAAATATTTGATGGTTTAAATTTTAGAAAAGGAAATTGAAAATCTGATTTATTGCTTATCTGCATCAATATAAAGAAGGTTATGCAGGTTATGTGGTAGTTTTCTTTATATGGGATATAAATGTGTGGTTGTGAAGAAATCAAAAGTCCCACTTCTTTGTGATCTTAATCAGATTGAGCAAAAAAAAAAGGATGAAATAGAAACAACAAGTAAATGCACCAAGTGTTTTTACGTGGAAAACCCGTAAAAGAAAAAATCATAGTGTCCTACTTAGTTGTAAAAATTCAGAATAAGTTTATTATTATAGAGAATATTTGACCCGCAGACGGGAGAGGGTTACAAAGTGTTTTGAATTACAACATTCACGTGCGGAAAATCTTGTTGCAAGGAATGTACGATGAGCGATAGCGATCGACGGCAGTCGACAAGTGGTGGTCGATGGTGGTCGGCAGTGATTGACGACGACAGGAGTGTTGCCGGACTTCAACTCTTTCTCAAAGCTTCAAACTCTTCCTTGAGCCTCAAGCTCT